AGTCATAGATTGTAACAATCTTGTCCTGACCTGTGGAGGCTCTATACATTATATAATATGTAATTAGACTCAAATGAGGGATGGTGTTTCAACTGCTTATTGTACCATTTTCTATGTAATAAGGTTTCATTTCATGGTAGTAATTATCAATCTTGTTTTTATTACCTCACCCCTTCTCTTCTATGAAGACATCATTTTTAACATACATCATCAATGTCATCACAGATTTTCTGGGAATATGAAGAATAATAAACATATATACATGTGCCAATTACAGAGATTTTTATATGTTTCTTAAAAAATGAAAATATGTTTCCTTGGAGTCAGGAAAATGTATTGTTATAGGGAGGTGAGATGAATGGAGACCCTTCTCAATCACAGGAGGAGGAGAACAGGTTTAGAGCCAAACTTTGCTAGGTTCCAATTTGTCTTATCTTGGGCAAGTCAGTCAGTACCTTATAGTCTCTGAAAGGTTGTCATGAGAATTGAATTAGATAATTTATATAATGGCTACTTGCAGTTCTGGAACATGGTAGATGAACTCAATCAATGACCGTTGTATCATTACTCTTATTATCACATATTCACTAATCATTTGCCACAAGACCAGCACTGCCTAGGAATCAGGGAGGTTGCAACTGTATAATAAGACATGGAGGGAAGATTATAGGAATATGTGTACCATAAGAAAAAAAATGTTGAAAGGGCTGTAGAAATAGGAAGAATAGGGTTGAAAAGTTGAGAGGAGAGAAATTGTAATGAACTGGTGGCATCCAAAATCCTTCCATGATCTCGTAGGTGGTACAGTGACGTGAAACCATCAGTCGGCTCTCAGTAGGTACAGAGAAGGATATCACCAGGACAAAAGCATAACTGCGGGAGTCGTCTTGGTATCACTGGAAGATTTTCTGATGTCCTTGGAAGTGGGAGAACCTCTGGGCTCCTGGGGCTTTATCAGCCCCTTAGTAGTTTGGATCATCCCACTGTGTATCTGAAGTGTAATCTCCATCTTTGATTACTCGAGCACAGAGTCTCCCAGGTTGTATGTGTGAGCTTGTGAGAGAGAGAATCTGTACTTGTGCAGGGCTGTATCAGGAATGGCTAGACTGAGTTCCCGAGTTGGTGGGGTTGATCACCCTAACGAGGGGACCACTCTGTTCTCCTTTGGCTCTTGGTGATTTGGAAACCACAAGGGACCCAGTGCAGTTCTATGGTGCTTATCAGAGGCTTGGCAATGCTCTCATCTTGTTCCCTCGGGAGCCCACTGGGTCTTTTTAGGAGAAACTTCTTTTCATTGCTGAGCTCTGGCTGGCATTCACTGACAGGACTAGCCTACTCTGATGCCAGTTTCCTTCCCCAAGGCAAGTTTGGTGATGTTCAGGGTGTCCCAGAGAGAATTGTTTTTTAAGCATATGATAAGTGACCAGAACATGTATTTTGGGGTTTAGAAACTTCATCGTTGTGTATCAAGTCTCCTTTGGGGTTATGGAAGACTTGTAGAACTAGATAGTGGTTATATAACATTGCAAATGTGCTAAATGCTACTGAATTGTACACTTTATTTTTTATTTTTTTAATTTGAGAAAGAGAGAGAACACAAGCTGGGGAGAGGGGCAGAGGGAGAGAGGAAGAATCTTAAGCAGGCTCCATGTGTAGTGTGGAGCCAGACTTAGGGCTCAATCCCATGACCCTGAGATTATGAACTGAGCCAAAATCAAGAGTCGGATGCTTGACCGAGCCACCCAGGTGCCCCAAGAATTGTACACTTTAAAATGACTAATTTCATGTAACAGGAATTTCCCCTAAAATAAAACTTTATCATCATTGTCAACACAAAATGAGGACAGTAGCTACATCTAAGAGGGAGGCAAGGGTCTCAGGACAGGTGCAAGGCACAGAGTCACAGAGGTGTATGTCAGTTGTCATTTGAAGTTCTGGATCTGACCTGCTTAGAGTGAGTCCCCTAAACCAGCAGCATTTGCATCATCTGGAAACTCATTAGAAAAGACAATTCTTGGACCTTACCCCAGGCTGATGAACTCAAAGACTCTATAGGTGGGACCCAGGAGTCTGAGTTTTAAGCAGCTTTCTAGGTGATTCTGATGCAGCTAAAGTTCAAACACTACTATTCCAATTCTGGGGTTGACAGGTCTACATATGATGGTTTTATAATTTATAATTAAAACACGAATTCAAAAAGATAATATGCACCCCTCTGTTTACTACAGCCAAATTCTGGAAGTAGCCCAAGTGTCCATCAGTAGATGAATAAAGAAGTGAGATATATATATAT